TCAGTCTGTCCAGACGTCCAGCTCAGCATGGCCACACCGGCCTCCTGCCCCTGACTGTGGGATCCTGGCAAGCAGGAATCCGTCCTCAGGGGCCTCTCACAGAGAGCCAAGCCGCACAGTGAATAGAGGACTCACCCAGCTCTGGGCCCCCCGTTTCCCCTCCCAGCAGCCCTTTTCAGCTCCCAGTACTACTGCCCTCTGATCCCCTAAGTGCCGCCGAGACGTCGGCCGGGGACCATCCTTCTCCAGCAGCCTTCCATCCCCACCACTCACTCCCCCGCCCCCACCGTCCTCTCTGCTCCGAACTGCCTCCAACTGCCTCGGATCTCTCACGGCCCCCACATTCCAACAGGCCAACTGCTCCTCCTCCTCCGACCCGGACATTCTGGAGGAGTCCTGGCCAGCACTTCTGCCCACTGTCCCTCCGTGTGGGCTTGTCTACACTCTCCCGGGGAACAAATCCAGAGAATGCTTCGGGGGCAGGAATACCGCCGAAAGGATGCCCTGCACGGATCCCTACTGCTGGCTTGAACTGCGGTGACGTGGAAGAGGTGGTAGCTGGCAGGTCTGGCCACTGAAGAATTACAAATTTCCCCCCTTGGCCACTCTTCCCTGTGATTATTATGCCAGGCGACTCCCCCGCCTCTCAACATATATATACTCTATACATACTCTATTATGTATAGAGTATATATATATATATATATATATATATATAGAGAGAGAGAGAGAGAGAATGTGTATATATATATACTCTCTCTCTGTATATATATATATATGCTCTATACATAATATTCACATACATGTATGTATACATGACCAATTATTCCTATCAGGATGGACTCATGGATACTTGTTGGATTCTATGGACTCATGGATACTTGTTGGATTCCATTACTATCTATTTATTTAGTTTTTGTTTATTTGCCCGAAGGACCCAGGCCCGGCCTTTGGGAGCGCCTGGGAGTTAGCTCCCCGTGTCCTGACAGCCCCACCTTCTCTGGACACCCCTAACTTCCCGCTGAAAGCCAGAACCCGGCACGGAGGTTTCACACCCCAAACTCCTCCGGCCCCTCTCTGCTCTCCATCCCGCCATCCTGCCCAGGCCCAGGGGCTCCCGGTGGGCCTTACGCACCTCGCTCAGGGGCGCCCCCTGACGCCCACCGCAGCCGGTGTCGCCCCGACAGCCTCCGTCTCCGGGACACCCGCCTTCGGTCAGCAGCGCGGGCCGAGCGCACCTCGCGCCGCCGCCGCCGCCGCGTGTCCCGTCCCCGCGCCCCGCCCCCGGGGCGGCCCGGCCCTCCGCGCCCTCCGAACCGGCCCAGCGCGCGGCGGCAGCGGCCCCGGTCCGGCCCGGCCCGCACGGGGACGCCGGGCGCGGGCACGCCCTCCGCCGGGCCCGCCTCCTCCCCACGGGCCGCTCCGGCAGCTCCAGGTGCCCGCGGAGGCCGGGTCGGGCCGGGGAGCCTGACACCGGGGTCGGCTCGGCGCGGACGGGGCTGCGGACGTTTCCTCTTTAGGAACAGAGAAGACGCGGCCCGCTTGGTGCAATGGGCAGCGCGTCAGTCTCCTAATCTGAAGGCCCTGAGTTCGAGCCTCAGGGAGGACACAGCTGTTTTGCTGTGGCGGCCAAAGGCCTAGGCCACCTCTGACCCCCCTTTTCCTCTGAAAACCCTTCGCTGGCAGCAAAGCTGCCAGTGCGGGTCCCTCACGTGGCCCAGGACAGCGAGGTGGGGCGGGACATCGCTGACCCGGAATGGCCAAGCTCTAACCAGATTTAGCTGAACTCAACTCAGGTGTTTGTTTTCAGTAAGATTATATTTAAGCCAAATTAACAACATATGCCAGGGAGCTAGATCTGAATGTTCCCTGAATCTTCCAACTTTCGATTATTCTGTTTTACAGTAGCTTCCAATTACTTTGTCATCTAATCTCTGTTATTTCATTTCATAAATAGGAACATTTCTAGTTTTCATTATTCATTTGTCTTAATGGCATTGTGGTCATGAAATATATTGTGTAAGAGTTAAATCCTCTGAAATGTATGACTGAGTTTATGGTCAAATTTTATAAATGCTTTGTATATGTGGGGAAAAAATATCCTCTGTAGTGATTGTATGAACTATTCTGCGTTTACTCATCACGTTATTAAATTCTTCTATATTTTTGTCTGTTTAAACTATTGGTTACTGAGAGATTTGTCTATTTTTGTCAATTTTTTTTGTAAATTTGAAACTACATTAATAAATGCACAAAACATAATTTTTGTATCTTCCTGTTGGGTTTATGAAGTGTTCACCTTTATCTCAGATATTGCTCTTTGTTTTAGAGCATATGTAATCTAAAATTCATGTATCAGCTTGCGTGGATTATGTGTACACAAAATATCTCACCTGGCTCAAATATAAAACATTTTTGTATCCTTATGTTTTAATCTCTCTTAAACATGTACATCTGAGAATTTTTAAAATCCAGCCATAGATCAACAGAATAGAAATATTTACTCTATTTACATTCACCATTATTACCCATATCTTTGGATTTAAACCTGGATGGACATTATACATTTTGGAGTCTATTTTCCTATTGCCCAGTAGGATAGATATATTATTGGCTTCTATCCTCTGAATCATATCTTTACATGGATGCTAATTATATTATTTAGGGGCACACTGGCGGCAGCAGGGTAGGCAAACTATAGCCGGTAGATCAATCTGGCCACTGCTTGCTTTTATACATAAAATTTTATTGGAACACAGCCCCACATGTTCCTTTATGTATTGTCTATGGCTGCGTTCACGCTACAGCAGAAGAGTTGAGTATTTGGGGCAAAGACCAAATGGCAAAGCCTAAAATATTACCTGGCCCTTTAAGTTGTTTCCAGAGCTACGGTAACAAATAGACTCCAAAATTTATAACAACTCTAATACGTTTATTCCTCATCCACGTAACAATCCAAAATGAGCAGCTTTTCTCCATATTTGACTTGTGGAAACAGGATCCTTCCACCTCATGGCTCTACGATCCTCTAGGTCAGTGGTTGGCAAACCACGGCTCGTGAGCCACATGCGGCTCTTTGGCCCCTTGAGTGTGGCTCTTCCACAACAAACCACATTCGGGCACACACATACAGGGCCATTGAAACTTCATGGCCCATGTGCAGAAGTTGGTTTTCGGCCCGGGCAAGTCTATTTTGAAGATGTGGCGTTAGGCTGAAACCGGTTTGGCTCAGCGGTAGAGCGTCGGTCTGCGGACTGAAAGGTCCCAGGTTCGATTCCGGCAAGGGCATGTACGTTGGTTGCGGGCATATCCCCAGACGGGGGTGTGCAAGAGGCAGCTGGTCGATGTTTCTCTCTCATCGACATTTCTGGCTCTCTATCTCTCTCCTTTCCTCTCTGTAAAAAATCAATAAAATATATTAAAAAAAAAAAAAAAAAAAAGATGTGGCGTTAGAATACTCAAGGGGCCGAAGAGCTGCATGTGGTTCGTGAGCTGCAGTTTGCCAGCCACTGCTCTATGGCTTCCATGCCATTCCCCTAGCGTTGGTAGAAGAGGACAGAGAACCTAGAGGGACACCCCTACTCCTTTAGCCTTGGCCCAGAAAGGGGACCCATTCTTCTCTCATGATCAGTCAGCAAGAATTAGCTACCAACATCTCAATGCAACGGAAGGCACACTGGGTCCATGGCTCTGCCGTCTCCTCCCAGTGACAACTCTAAGCTACAAACTTGAGTGGCAGCGATCTCCTGGCCATGCCAACACCAAGCAGAGAGGAGGCGGGATGGGAGAGGGCTAGAAGCCAGGCCTATCTGGCTTGTTTTGGGGAGCTGGGGCTTTTTCAACTTGGGGAAGGCCAAAAACTATTACATCATCACATCCTCAAACATGAGGAACCAGACACAAAACTGCAGCTTTCAACTGGCACCAAATGCCAGAATTAGGGTGTCAGGACTTGCGAAGACTCAGATCAAATGAGCTATTGTGAATCAGGAAGCTGAAAGGAGAGAGCCTTTCTCGGGATATGGTTAGACCCGCTCACGGGGCCTCACTCAGCCTTGGCCAGTGGCTCAGTAGGTTGAAGCACTGTCCCGAACACCAAAACGTTGCCGGTTCAGTTCCTGGTCAGGGCCACGGGGAGGTAACCAATCAGTATTTCTCTCGCATCACTCTCTCCCTTTCTCTCCCTTCATCCTCAGGTGAGAGTTAATAGAGTTGAGCATTGTTGATCTACCAACTCCAATATGCAACTTGAAAATTTGTACACATATATACATTTCTTAAGCCTTCTTAAATTCTAAGAATTTCCTGTACACACGTGTCCCCCCAACCCCCCAAAAAAGTTACAAACAAAACTAAGTCCTGCTCTAGCCGGTTTGGCTCAGTGGATAGAGCGTCAGCCTGTGGACCCTAAGGTCCCGGGTTTGATCCCAGTCAAGGGCTTAACCTTGTTGCAGGCTCCTCCCCAGTCTGGGCCCTGGTCAGGGCTCATGCAGGAGGCAACCAATCAACGTGTTTCTCTCACATCAAATGTTTTTCTCTGCCTTTCCATCTCTCTAAAGCCAATCAAAAAATATCCCCGGGTGAGGATTTAAAACATAAAAATAAAGAAAATTTCTTTAAGAAAAACACTTAAAGTCCTTCCCTCGCTGGAATTTGCTGACTGGGGCATAAGGAATCCACCACAATGAATGTGTCATTGGAAAAAAACTGACCACATATGCAGGCCATCTTGGTTTTTGCTTTTCTATTTTATTTGTTACAAAGGCAAGTTTCCCCAGCAGTCGGTGGTGGGAAAATAACAAAGTGAAAAATCCCTAAGCAGTACAGTAAAAACCGGGGAGTGCAGGCTGGGTGCGTTCTGGGAGGGGAACAGGCACGTGGCCTGCCATGGCGGAGAAGGTGGAGGCTCAGGAAGTATTGGAAGTCGGTCAGCGTCCAAGGTCACCCCCTCAGCACGCCGCTTCCTCTGGCTCTTCGCCAGCAAGACCCGCGCCCAACCTTCAACACAGGAGCTGGTAAACCGAGGCACAGTTCTTGGAGCCCGTGACCAGATACTTGTTGTCGGAGGACACATCGCAGCACAGGACTTCCGTGGACTCCTCTTCCTAGAGGGAAAGAGGCGCCGAAAAAGGTTCTCTATGCAGGGGCCAGGCTCGGGCCAGAGATGGTTCCATTTGGGGCTCTTGCAAGGCACAGTGCAGACCTGAGGGTCCGTTCGGAGGCAGGGCCAGGCCTCTGGCCTCAAGGTGGAGCCCCTGAATTTGTAGGACCGCAAGTCCCCATTCCCCCATCTATTAGGTGGCCCTGGCTGCCGGCTCAGGGGTCCTCTCCCACACTGCCTCTGGGACCTGACCCGCTGGGATCCGGGCCACAGCTCCGGGGGCCGGGTTTTCACACCCCTCCTTCCAGTACCTGGAACAGCTTCTGCAGGTAAGGTGCAGATAAGCAGTGGACTGACTCATCCATTGTGGCCACAAAATAGCCTCCTGCGAAGGAAGAACAGATTTTAGTCCAGCTCTGTTCCCGGCAGGACCAGGGAAGAGGTTTCTCTGCCTCAGTTTCCCAAAAAAATCAGAGACACAACAGGAACCATTCCCTCATTTGCCCCCACCCCCCGTCCCCACCCCACAGAGGATCACGGATCGCAGTGAGCGTCGCTGAACAGGTCAGCAGGGGGGGCTTTGTGCCGCTTCCGTCTGCCCGTGTCTCAGGCTGCCATTGTGGGGAAGCGAGCCTCTGACAGAGCCAGGACAGGAAAGGGGATGGGCAGAGAGAGCAGACAGGAGAGGTAGCTGGGCTATGGGAGGAAGAAACTCTGGGGTGGGGGTCATGCAGAGGTGAGAGCAGTGGGGGGCAGACACCTGGATCTTTGGCCAGTGTTGGGAGAAATCAAGAGTCTGAAACAGGCTGGGCCTAGACTTTAAAAGTTAGCCCTAGCCAATCTGACTCAGTGGATAGAGTATCGGCCTGTGGACTGAAGGGTCCTGGGTTCGATTCTGGTCAAGGGCACATGCCCAGGTTGCAGGCTCGATTCCCAGTAGGGGTTGTGCGGGAGGCAGCCGATCAATGATTCTGATTATTGATGTTTCTATCTCTCTCTCCCTTCCTCTCTGGAATTCAATAAAAGTATATTTAAAAATAAATCAATGAATAAAAGTTAGCAGACACCCCGGAGTGTGCCAGGACACCCCGAGGCGTTGCCTGGCTTCTCACGCACCGGAGGGGGCGAACTTGAGGTTGTGGCGATGGACGTATTTGTGTATGACGGCCCTGAACGCCTCCTTCCGGTGAGTGTGCAAGATGATGATGTCGCTCGTCCGCAGGCCCACGAGCAGCCACTCCTCGCTGGGGTCGTGGGTGATGCTGAGGATCTGTGGGGAGGGAGGTGGGAGTCAGCGCTGCAGGCTGCCAGCCCCATCCTGCGTGCCCACCTCCAGGCTCAGGTCCCGCTCCTGCAGGCACCCACGGCTCCCGGGCCCCCGGGGGGCTGCACGCAGCCGGCAGGGGCCGAGTCGGCACCTCGTGGTGGACGTTGTATTGCTGCAGCTTCAGGCAGCTCCGCAGGTCCCAGGCACACAGGCTGGTGTCTTCGCCTCCCGTCCAGAACTTATTGCCCGTGAGATCCACACATCGGGACCCAAACTCGGACACTCGGTGCTTCCTGGTGGGAGAGAACCCAGGGGTTTGTGTCTGGTTGGACTCCGGGGAGTTTGGGGCCCAGGAAGGCCCTAGGGTAAGGTGAGCAGATGGTCCAGGTGTTGGCGGGACAGTCCTCATTTCTAACAATTTTCCCCGCATCCCGGGGCGTTTTTAAAAAAAGTCCTGGTTTTTTGAAAGATTGGAAACATTGGAAAGATTCTTTCCAAAAATCGGGACTTTTTTAAAACACCGCGGGACGCGGGAAAAAATTGTTAGAAACCAGGACTGTCCCGCCAACACCTGGACCGTCTGGTCACCTTACCCTAGAGGGACCCCCGATCTATTCTCCACACTGACTCACTCAGTCCTGCGCCCAGAGGGGACAGTGGGGTCCAGGAAGGACGCGTGCCTTCCCGCCCCCAGGTCATACCTGATCAGGATTTGTCGCTGCAGATCCCAGATCTCAATGAACCCTTTGAAACAAGCCAGGCAGATCTGGGCGTTGGAGGAGATGGCCAGGGAGTAGCAGATGGGGCCCGCGGAGGCCAGCTGGGCCCTGATGCGGGCTGTGGGTGCCAGGTCCCACAGCGTCAGGGTCTGGGACACCCCCCCGGTGATCAGGCTCTGCTCGTCCGGGAACAGCTTGCAGCTGAGGACACAGTTATGGCGGTCCTGTGGGGACGGTCACACGCTCACGTCACCGCCACGAAGCGGGCGCAGGCTGCGGGGCGGCTCCTGAGCCCCCGGGGCGCGGCCTCACCTGGAAGTTGAGCTGGGCCTGCGGGGCCTTGCTCCAGGTGTGCAGGGCGCCCTCGTCCCACACCCGGATGTAGCCGTGGCCGCACGTGTAGACGTGGTGAGTGGAGGTGCTGATGGCGATGGCACAGACCTTCTTGCCGTGGCAGAGTTTGCCCACCTTCCAGGACTTGTGTGGGATCCCCGGCCTGACCACCGTGTCGCCTCCCACGGGAGGCTGGGGGAGGAAAAGAGGGTGGTGGCCTTGAACGGCCATCACCCTGGGGCCCCTCCTCCGTGGGTGCCTGACTACATTCCTAGCCGTTCACCCAACAGCTCCCCTCTCACCCCCAGGCGGGAGCCTGTCCTCCGCTGGGGACCCCAGCCCGCTGACGCCGTCTACGCGAGCCCGGGGCAGGCCCGGGTGGCTCTCCATGATAAGCAGGCCACGTGTCTGAGGCCGTTCCGAGTGCCGGCAGCGGGAGCAGAGCCGGCTCAGAGCCCGCACGGGTGCAGCTCTGGAGGTGACTCTGGCAGCGGAGGCCCCATGTACGGGTGGCGGGAGAAGGGGGAGCCACAGGACCCCACCCCAACTCTGGGAGAGAGAGGGAGTGTGGACTTCCTGTCTGGGGAGGACGAGGAGGAGACACTTACAACCGCTCTGCAGAAGGGCCAGACTTTGTCACTGGGAGGAGGAGGAGGAGGACTAGGCAGGCCTGCGGGGAAGAATCGATGCCCACGGCTCGCAGAGGGGGCAGCTGGCAGCCTGCTCTCCTGTGCCAGGGCCTCTCCCCCTGACCCCCCACCCGAGCACCTTGAGCTGCCACCCTCCCTGCCCGCAGTCCCGGTTGCACTTACCAAAGTCGAATCCTAGTAACCTGCAGTGACAAAGGGGGAGGGGGTAGAGGGAAAGAGGAGACAGAGCATGAAATGGAGGCCAGGCCCCCTCCCCCAGGTCCATTCCTGTTCCCCCCCCCCCCCCCCGCCTCCGCCCCCGACCAAGGGAGACCTGCCTGGAGGCAAACGCTGCTTCTTCTCGGGGCCGCCCCTCGGAGAACCAGCTGGCCTGGAGCTCCGACCTGTCCAGGGCCCGGAGCGCCCACTGCTGCGGGGTCAGCGTGCTCATCTCCTGGTACACGGGGCTCTCCTCGGGGCTCTCCTCCCGGGAGCCCGGGGGCCGCTGGGGGGAGCCGCACGCCCCGTCCGGCTGGGGCTGCACCTGAAGCCTGTGCTGAGAGCTTTCCTGCTCATACCTCCTCGGCTCCGGCTCATCGTAAACCCTGAGGATACTGAACGCCGCCTCTTCCTTCTTTCCGCTCATGTTCTGAGGCCGAGGTGCCGGAGGCAGACAGGTGCTGGGCTCCCGACGCGTCCTTCCCCCTGCGGCGAGAGAGAGGACAGGCCCCGTGCTGTGCTGTGGGGGGGTCTGTGTAGAAGGTCCGAGAACGCCTCCCGTGGTGAGAGGGTTCAAAAGACTGGTCACTAACTTTTTTTTTTTTTTTTTAATATATTTTATTGATTTTTTACAGAGAGGAAGGGAGAGAGACAGAGAGCCAGAAACGTCGATGAGAGAGAAACATCGACCAGCTGCCTCCTACACACACCCCCCACCGGGGATGTGCCCGCAACCAATGTGCATGCCCTTGACCGGAATCGAACCTGGGACCCTTCAGTCCGCAGACCGACACTCTACCGCTGAGCCAAACCAGCTTTGGCTGGTCGCTAACTTTTTATACAAAATGTTGGCAGCACCGGTGACAGGTTTCACAGGGACCTTTTGAGATGTTACCAGATGTCATGTTTTTCCTTCTAGACACACACACACGCACACACACTCTGCATTTCCAGGCCCGTAAAATCAATCACCTTTCATCTGACCAACGGAGGCTCCTCCCCAGGATAAATAAAACGGAAGGCAACAGGAAACTGCACTCACGTCCCAGGGCCTCTTGCCCCCGGGAGGGGCCTGTGGAGGGGAGGGGGAGGCAGGGGAAGAACTGTGAAGAAGTCATGCGAACATGATGCTCCGTTTGGATAGGACGAGGTGGCAGAGCAATGAGGAGGGAGTCTGCTGGTGGTGATCCTTCCTACCCTGTGGGAGAACTCTGAGAACGGAATGGAATCCCGCAGGCAGGCAGCCCCGGAAGGCCCTGGGAGGCCCCGGAAGGTCCCCCTATCAGGGACCGAGAGAAGCCTCGGGGACAAAGTGAAGGTGGGGCTGGGGAGGGCATCTCCTAACCAATGCCTGTGGGCCAGGCTCAAACACTGGTTCTCAGACACCACTTCTCTCCCATGCTCCAGCCCAGTGGTCGGCAAACTCATTGGTCCACAGAGCCAAATATCAACAGGATGACGACTGAAATTTCTTTGGAGAGCCAAACTTTTTAAACTTAACGTCTTCTAACGCCACTTCTTCAAAATAGGCTCACCCAGGCCATAGTATGTTGTGGAAGAGCCACACTCAAGGGGCCAAAGAGCCACATGTGGCTTGTGAGCCGCAGTTTGCGGACCACGGCTCCAGCCGATTCCCCAGAGAAAACGGGCTGCCTGCTCTTTGGCAAATGCAGGGGGAGACGGGGTGTGGTATCAAAGCCTCCATGACTCTTTGAGCCTACATTAAAAACTGGGGGAACTCGAGTCTTCTTCTCAACCAAGTCCTTCCTTCCTCATCTTCCCCTGGATGATCATTTGAGGCCCTTGTGATTCTTAATTACTTGGTGTGTGCTGCTTTAAAAAAACAAAAAACAAAACAAAACTGAAGCTCAGAGCAGGTGAGCAAATATCTAATCAATATATTGTTACTGATTTCAGAGAGGAAAGGAGGAGGAGGAGATAGAAACATCCATGATGAGAGACTCATTAATCAGCTGCCTCCTGCACGCCCCCTACTGGGAACTGAACCATGACCTCTTGGTTCATAGGTCGATGTTCAACCAAATCCGCCTTGGTTGGCTCCTTTAACTGGGCCACCAAGGCTGCCTGGGCCCTGGTGAGGGCAGAAGCACAGAGCACACTTGTTCCCAGCCCAGTGTGAAGTGGCAGGTGTGTGTGTGTGTGTGTGTGTGTGTGTGTGTGTGTGTGTCAGCTGACCAGACTTTGTTTGGGGGTGAGGTAAAGCTTAAAGGCAGAGAAGCCATTGAACCAGGATTTCGCCCTAAGAAAGAGGAGAAGGAAGAGTCTTTCTAGAAAGAGAGAAGGAGGTGACAGCCCCGATTCCCCTTCCGCCCTGTCCCCAGAGGTGGGAATACAGAGACCCCCTCTCTTCCCCAGGGCAACTCCCTATTTCCTAAGATTCAACATGAAATGCTAGAGCCGGGAGTCAACCCTGCCAACAAGATAAGCCCTCGCCGAAACCCGTTTGGCTCAGTGGATAGAGCTTCGGCCTGCGGACTGAAAGGTCACAGGTTCGATTCCGGTCAAGGGCATGTACCTTGGCTGCGGGCACACCCCCAGTAAGGGGTGTGCAAGAGGCAACTGATCAATGATTCTCTCTCATCAATGTTTCTAACTCTCTATCCCTCTCTCTTCCTCTCTATAAAAAAATCAATAAAATATATTAAAAAAACAAAAAAGATAAGCCCTCACCCAGTGCCGACGGCAGCAGGGAAGTCGGCAGAGCCGCGATCTAGCCAGTGCTGGGAACCCCGTGCCCCCGCTCCGACCCTCACCTCCACACCAGGCCCTGCCAGGAACGGCTCCTCTGCCCGGCTGCCCGGCGTGCCCACAACCACAGCCAGGCGGAGCGCGAGCCGTCCCCGGGGTGCCATTTCCGAGAACCCGGTGTCCCCGGTGAGGGGCAGGATGGGGGTCTGCCAAGTACGTTCACGGCGGGAGGAAAGATGGAGTGAGAAGTGTTCAGAAGGACACGTCTTTGGGTTGTGCTCAGGCCGCCCACTGGAGCTGGCGTGTCCTCAGGGATGTGCAGGGGAACTGGGTTGTACACAAGAGTCACTTCGGATGCTCATCTCGGGGTGAGTCCCCTTTGCTCAGGAAGGCTGGTGTGGGGCTGCCCCAAGGTGGGTGGCTACGGGAGGAAGGAGGGGCCCCGTGTCACTTCCTTCCTTCCCCCTGTCCTGACTCCGTGATCTTTGGTCTCTCACGGGTGTCCCTGAGCGTGAAGAGCAGGGGCAGCACATATACTAAAAGTGGAACATCACAGAGAAGATCGGCATGGCCCCCTGCGCAAGAGTACACGCCAATTCGTGAAGCGATCCTATTTATTAAAAAAGAGAAAAAAAGAAAAAAAGAAAAGCAGGGAAGCCATTTTTTTCTGTGCTGTCTCGCCCAGGGGTTCTTAAATTTGAGCACTCCTCAGAACACCCCACCCCCATCCCCATATCTTCTTAGAACAGAGTGGGGGCAGGGGGCAACCCCAGAGATTCTGATTCTGGGGGTCTGGGGGCAGGGCCCGAGTTCTGAGGTGGAGTCACCACCGGCCTGGGGACCCCGGTGAGAAGCACTGCCTGTCCCCTCTGCCTGGTGGTCCCTTTCTGGCAGGAGGGGGAGGGGTGGTGAACTGGAGCCTCCCCTGTCCCGCTTCCTCCTTTCCCCTCTGCCACGGGCCTGGCCCAGCCCTCCCACCAGCACCCTCTCCCCCTCCAGCTCCCCTCTCACTCACTGGCCTCGGGCAGGCTGGCGGGTGGGTTTCTCACCTTGGCTTCCCTGGGAGAGGAGGCAGGAAGCTACCCGTGTCCCTCTGCCCAGAGACCCTGACCGGCTCCAGGCAGCGGTGGTGGTGATGATGGTGGGGGCGGAGGGCGGAGGGCGGAGGGGAGCCCTTTGGACCCTCAGAGCCGGACCTCAAACTTCAGTTTCCAGATCTTTATTTGGAGGCAGGAGCGCCCTCCCGCGGGCAGTAGACGGGCAACCCAATGCTTATCCCTGTGTTCATGGGCTTGTGTCCTGGATGGATGGTTGCGCTCGGGGTACTGTGCCCCATCCCACTCCCACCCACCACCCCGCCCTGGGCCCCCCGGGAATTCACCTGGGAGTGGGCTGTGGCCGAAAATGTATGAACCACAGAAACACAAACAAAACACTTCTTCGCCTACCAACTCCCTGGCACCATCCACTGCACCTAAGTGATGCCCAGCAAGGCCCTGCAGGGCCAGGGAGCTGAAGGCCAGTGAGCAACTCCCGGTAGAACGGGGGTGGGTGGGGTGGGGTGGGGTGGAGAGGGGTGCAGGGGAGAGAATGGGAACATTTCATGGAGGTGAGAGCTGACAGCTGGGCAGGCCACGCTGACCACCACACCAGGGAGGCAGGCCCTCCAGGGGGAGGGGCTTCTGGCAGGGGCCCGTGTGAAGAGGGGCAGGAAGCCCCGGGGAGAAGGGCCGCTGCATGGCGTGGCCGGGGCCCTCCTCCGTGTCCCCCTGCGCCCAGTGCTGCCTCCCTTCCTCCCCGCGGTCCTGGGCGCTTCCACCCCCCATTCCTCCGCCTGGGCCGCCCCGCAGAGCCCGGTGGCCCCCATCTGTGTCCTCTGCCCGCCTGGCAGCCATGGGGGGGGGGGAGCGTCCTGCCTGCCGGCCCCTCTCATGGTACCTCGAGGCAGAGCCCCCTGCTCTGGGCTCGCAGGGCCCCGCGGCCGGCGGCCCCGGCCCCAGGCCGCCCCTGCTGGCGGGGCCTCGGGGCGGCCTCGGCGGGGCGGGCAGCATTGCTTCTGGGAAGACAAGTTTGCAAAGCGCCGGCCTAACCGTTCGGAGCTCCCGCCCCGGCGCGGGCGCCCTCCCCGCGGGACTTCCGGGTCCGAGCGCGTGTCCTGCCCGCGGCCGCCGGCACCCGCTCCCCGCGGAGGCTTCCCGCCCAATGTCCCGCCCGCGGAGGCTTCCCGCCCAATGTCCCGCCCGAGGGCGCAGGATGCCGCCCGCCGTGGCTCCGCGGGGAGGTCCCAGCGCCCGGGCACCGGCCCGACCCCCGCGCCCCTCAGGCGGAGGCCAACGCGGCCGCGGGCGGGAGGGCGCGCGCCCCGCCGCAGGCCGCGCCTCCTCACCGCGCGCCCTCCCGCCCGCCTCCCGCGCTGCTTCCACCCTCCTCCCGCTCTCCCGCCTCCCCGCCTCCCGCCCTCCTCCCCGCGGGCCCGGGCGTCGCGGCCGCACCGGCAGCACGTGGGCTGCGGGCACTCCCCGAGGCGGCCGGACGCGAGGACCGCCCTTCCCGCCTTACCGCGCGGCTGACAGGGCCCGCGAGGCGCCCTCGGCGCGGCCGTGCAGCGGGCGGGCTCCCCGGAGGCCGGGCTGGCGGGCTGGCGGGCGCGGGTTTGGGGGTTCGGCGGCCGGAGGGGTCGGCGGGCCCCGCCCCGGGGCCGCGGAGCCGGAGCGGAGGGGCCGGCGGCGGCGGAGAGCGGGCAGAGGGCGGCCCGGGGCGCGCCCAGACGGCGGAGCCCGCGGCGTCCTGGGAGCTGTCGGCGGGCGGCGACCACGTGGTCTCGGTGCAATGGCGCCGGCGGGGGGCGGGGGGGAAAGGGGGGTAGGGCTGAGGGGGCTCTCGAGGAGGCCGAGGCTGGCTCCTGGCGGCCCCCGCCCTTGGCGAGCCCCGGCCTGGGAGGGGGCCTGCCTCCCACAAATGCTGGGTCTCAGGGGGGGGGGTGTCCCCAGACCCTCGTCAGGAGGGGACCCCAGAGAAAGGGTGTGGCCCGGGGAGAGGGGGCTTCCGAGGAAGACAGCCGGAAGCCGGGAGGAGAGAGCTGCTGGCGGGGCGGGGACCTGTGGATCCTCTGGTCCCCCCCACACAGGTGACAGGACCCCAGCCCTGCCTGCACCGGCCCGGGGCCTCCCACCCGCCTGCTGGGGCCGCTCGCCAGGCTCCTCCCGGAGCTGCTGGGTGCCCTGCGGCAACCATGTTTTCTCTGAGCCTCAGTTTCCCCTCCAGACCAGGACCAGGGCAGGACCCCATACTCGCGGAGGGCCCTTCCAGAGTGACTGGCTGCAAGGGGCGGAGGGTGCCCCGTGCTGCAGGGCGGAGCACGCTGACCGAGGCTGAGGGAGACTGTTCAACCCAGCTCCTCCGAGCCCGTGGCTCCAGCTCAGGCGTGTGTTTGTGAGGGGACAGGGGTCCCCGGCGCCGAGTCCTTTCTGTCCCAGGGAGGTCTCCGCTGGCCCGGCGGGAGAGGGGGTTCTGGGCCTAGGGGGCCACCGTACTTCATGAGGACTCGCAGGTGTCTGCCTTCTCCATGGAGATAGCTGAAGAACAAATTGTGCAAGGGTTCTACTTTTGTACTGCATCTTTTAACTTTATTTGGACGTAAAACAGATATTTACTTTTTAAGTCAATATATCAATATTTCCCCTTATATTTTATTTCTGGAGGCTGGGCTTGCTGAGCTCATGCCTCTAAGATGGCCAGGATGCTTGGTATCTACACAGAAGGTCCTGCCCTGGGCGATACCAACCCCACCGCGCGGAAGGAAGGCCTCAGGGACCACCATCCGGGTGGAAAGGGCCTTGAGCCGCACCCCTGAGACCCAGGACACACGGGCCATGGATGGCTGGTCCTGGACATTGGGTTGTCTTCAGCGACTCGAGAGTCCCTGCCTAGCTGCTGCCATAGCAGACACTGTCGGGCCTACTGGGGACCAGGATTGCAGGACTTCCTGCCCCCGCTGACCACACATCAAGAAACCATCTACAGGGTGTGCATGAGCCAGGAGGGTTGGAGCGAACTGTGGCCTTTCACCTCTCCTCTGGTTTGGGTGACCACATCAACTACTGGTTTGCTGTGTGTGACCATCTCTGGGTCTGTTTCCCTGTGGATAAATGGACCTCATGCCTCAGTGCACTCTGGGTCTTCATGTTCAGCCTGGAATTTTCCAGAGCAGGCCAGCTGCCCTGCTACCTCAGTTCCGAGGCTCCAGTGCCTGCCTCCACACAGATCAGCTCCTAGGAGCATGGGGGGAGGGGAGAGAACTTACGCAATGGCATCTCCTGGACACTGCGAAAGGCATTAGCTTTATGACCAGAATAGTTCCTTTGAAGCACTCAAGACAGCACTTCTAGCCAACACGGTTCACTCAAGCTGGAGAGCAAAGGAGGTCTGTCTGGGGCAGGGAGGTGGCCTGTCTCTGCATATGCAGGGGTCTGTGCATCTATGGGAGGGTCTGTGTGTACACCTCATGTCTGTGGGAGAGAGGTTCAGAAGCTTCGTGTGTGTGGGTGTTTGCACCTGTTTTAATTTCCACTCCTTGGAATACTACCAAGACTGAACATCTTACTTAATAATTTTAGTATCTTTTTTAAAGCTGCCTGCTAGTGTGATTTACTGGGTTTTATTAGATTCCTAGAGGCCTGGTAGGGTCCCTAGGCCTGGCCTGCGACCAGGGCAGATCTGGGGGTCAATAGGGGTGGGGGAGTGCCACTGGCACTTACCTTGGCCAGCATGGTGCCACCCACTCGCCAGTCCCACCCCCACTGCTGCTGGTCACCTCCCTCTGTGGGCCCCCCTCAGGCACCCTCCTTGGCTGGTCTGGGACCTGTGGGCAGCTCCTACGTTGAGCATCTGCCCTCTGGTGGTTAATGTATATCACAGCGAAAAGCCATTCCACCGGTCATTCCGCTGTTTGGTTGATTTGCACATTAGGCTTTTATTACATAAGACTTTTCTCTTTATGATAAGACCTCGCTGCATATTATTACTTTCATGTAACAAATTGTGCAAGGGTTCTACTTTTGTACTGTATCTTTTATTTGGACGTAAAACAGATATTTACTTTTGAAGTCAATTTATCAGTATTTCCCCTTATATTTGATTTCTGGAGGCTGGGCTTGCTGAGCATGGGTGGGGTTTCATCTGATGCCACTAAAGGTTATTCTATTCCATGAAAATAAAAATTACTCACACTTTTTCCCTTCCTAAGGAAATACCTATTTTTTTCTCTTTACAAGTGATGTATGCTTGTCAAAAATGAAAGGGACATAATTTAGTACAGTGAACAGCTGAGTTTTCCTATCCGAGAACAAGGTTTCTCTCTCCCCACTCGTTTCCATTTGTTGCACTCAGTGGTGATCCATATAGCTCCTGCTAATAATTAAAGCTTATTCCTAGAAAATCTACTTTTCTTGATGTTGTTTGGAACGGGATATTTCCTTCCATTATATTTTCTAAATGGTTATTAAAAAACAAAAACAAAAAACCCTATTTTTTTGTTTGTTTTTTCCCAGAGTGTCAGGCTATCAAGCATCCAGACGTCCATGGCCAGGATGCTAGGCATAGGCAAGCTTCTCTCCTCTCTGCCACCTAAGGACCTATTTGTTTTTGAATATTACTTTTTAACTGGTCTTCATTCCTGATTTAAAATGTAATGAGTAATATTTGTTTCCGTGTAAAGATTGATACACATTCATTTCTCCCTCAGGGTTTTCCACCAGGGTAAGTCTCATGGTACCTAATTCAGTTCAACATTAATCTTGAGAGTTTTCTACATCCTCATTAGGATTTTCCTTCACCATGGACACTCTGATGCTGACTAAGTTGGAAGCTAAACCTGAAGGCTTTCCCACACACATTGCACACATAGGGTTTCTTCCAAGTGTGGACAGTCTGATGTATAATACAGTCAGAACTATTGCTAAAGCCTTTGCCACACTCCACACATCTGAAGGGCTTCTCCCCAGTGTGGCTTCTCTGATGCCGAATTAAGAGGGCTTTAACGTGGAAGGCTTTTCCACACTCCTTACACTGAAAGGGCTTTTCTCCAGTGTGGATTCTCTGATGTACAATATATTCAGAACTAATGCTAAAGGCTTTCTCACATTCCATACATTTGAAAGGTTTCTCCCCAGTGTGTATTCTCTGATGCCTAGTTAGTTTGGCATTGAGGCTGAAGGCTTTCCCACATTCTTTACATTGGAAAGGTTTTTCTCCAGTGTGTATTCGGTGATGATCAAGCAGATTTCTTTTACAAACAAAGCATTTTCCACACTCATCACATTCAAAGGGTTTCTCCCCAGTGTGAATCCTCTGATGCTGCATTAGTTTTGCATTGATGTTGAAGGCCTTTCCACACTCATTGCACTCATAGGGCTTCTCTCCAGTGTGGATTCGCTGATGCCGTCGAAGGTGGGAGTTACCTATGAAGGCTTTTCCACATTCATCACACTTATAGGGCTTCTCACCGGTGTGGATTCTTTGGTGCTGGATTAACTTCCCTTTGACACGAAAGGCTTTTCCACATGCAGTACACTCATAGGGCTTCTCACCAGTGTGGATTCTCTGATGCCGAGTGAGATTTCTATTATTACTGAAGGCTTTTCCACACTCCTTACACTGACAGGGTTTCCCTTCAATGTGGATGCTCTGATGACGCCTGAGCTGGTAACTGCACCTGAAGCCTTCCCCACACTCATTACACTTATAAGGTTTTTCTCCGGTGTGGATTCTCCGGTGTTGAATCAATTTTGCGTTAACACTGAAAGCTTTTCCACAGTCATTACACTCATAAGGTTTCTCCCCAGTGTGGACTCTCTGATGTGTGATATATGCATTACTGCAGATGAAGCCATGTCCACACTCCTTGCACTGATAAGGCTTCTCTCCTGTATGGATTCGCTGGTGCCTGCTTAGACTCCCTTTAATACGGAAGGCTTTTCCACACACCTTACACTGAAAGGGCTTCTCCCCACTGTGGACTGTCTGATGTGTAATGTAATTGGAACTGCAACTGAAGCTTTTCCCACACTCCATACACTTGAAGGGCTTCTCCCCAGTATGAATTCTTTGATGACAAATTAATTTTGCATTGACACTAAAGGCTTTGCCACAATCCTTACACTGATAGGGCTTCTCCCCAAGGTAGCTGTCTCGATGATGATTAAGTTGAGGGTTATACTTAAAGATTTCCACTAATTCTTCACATTCAAATGGTGTTTCCCTGGAATTGCTTATTTCATGATGGATACGTTTTGTGTCAAAGCTTAAGGATTTCTTCAATCCAGTACACTCAGGGGGCTCCTCTCCAGGGGTGATGATGGTATTACACTGATTCAAGTTTGGACTCTGACTAAACAAACCCTCCCCCGTGAGGCTTGTGTCATCTTTCACTGTTCCGCCAATGACACTGCTGTTTTCTCTCTTCACACTTACTACTAGATGGACCTCCTGCTGCTGTTTTTCTAGAATATAGGCTTCTGAGAAGTCTGTTTCCTGGGAAAGGTCCCCCTGAGGTACAAATGATGTATTATGTTTTTCTTTGTTCATTTCCTTTGTCATATTATTGTCAGCCTGGATATCAATATCTATTATAAAAAAAAACAAAAAACAAAAAAAACATAAAACAGAAAATGTTAAATCTATAATATGCTCGTAGGAAAATATATAAAAGATATACTGTTAAATAGAAAAACAAGTTAAGAAATTGTATGTAGATTCCATTTGTATAAAAGAAAAAGGGCAAACATAGACATATATATTTGTACTATACCCTGAAAACTTCTAGAAGAAGACACAAGAAACTGAACAAAATAACAGGAAGTTTAATAGATTTCCCCACCATTTTATAGACCTTCTTTACTGTTTTGAGCATGTACCAACAGTATAATTTTAAAGTAATCATTTTTAAAAGACTACCTGTCTCTAAATCAATAATAACCAATAACATAAAGGTTAAAAGTGAGAAACATCTATGTGAAAGAGAAACAATAATTGGTTGCCCAGTTATCAAACCTGCAAGCTAGATTATGTACCCTGACTGGGAATCAAACCCATAAACTTTTGGTGTATGGGATGACACTCCAACCAACTGGTGCATGAGGAAGTAATTTTTAAAAGTCAACTCTGCTGACATGGGTCTTATGCATTGTACCTCCCCCTTCTGCCTGCCTAAAACCCATTTGAGTCCTCCTTGTTCAAAACTTACTTAAAACCTATAGACACGGACTAGATCATTGTTTCTATTATTAGCTCAGATCACAATGGGTTGTTCAAAAACTTCAGACACATTTGATTAAGGGTCTCCACAATATCACGTTTCCCCCCTCTATATGCCAAGCACTTCAAACTCTCTATGTCTAAAACATGTCTTTGTTGGTCAGAGATCATCTGGCTGAATGACAAGAAATAAAAACCCACTGAAACCATCTTTTAAAAAAAGAGGATTTGTTGCAGGGATGTAAGAGAATCTTATGGAACCTAAATGCAGGAGGTAAAGCTGGGTCTCATGGGAAATAGGGAGCCATCTGGGATCTAATCTGCTTGGGCCAATGAGAGCCTCACTACTTCAGGTGTGTCTGGGAACTGAAAACCTTGGCATCACGCGAAAACTTAACAAAAATGCAGAATCTTGGCCCCACACCACACTTACTGAGTAACAACCTTCATATTTGTAAGACTCTCAGGTAATTCATTTGCATATGGTTTGAGAAGCAATGAATTACAGCCCTTCCTCTCTTCTGCCTTATTTCCTATAGCTTACTATATAAAGCTGTTTCCTCCAAAAATCAAAAATAACAACTAATATATCATTGAGCAGACACTATTAGCCAGGCACATGATACATGTTACCTCATTCCATCCTCAAACTATAGACTAGCACTAAAACCTTTTATTATTATTATTATCCCATTTTCAGGGATGAGAACACTGACTCTCAGAGAACTAAATAAATGACTTGCTCAAAGTCACACAACTAGGAAGTTGCACAGTTAGGAGTGGACCTCAGAAAATCTGCTCCAAAAATTATACTTCTACCAAAACCGGTTTGGCTCAGTGGTAGAGCGTCAGTCTGTGGATTGAAAGGTCCCAGGTTCAATTCCGGTCAGGGGCATGTACGTTGGTTGCAGGCACATCCCTGGTAGGGGATGTGCAGGAGGCAGCTGGTCGATGTTTCTCTCTCATCGACATTTCTAGCTCTCTATCTCTCTCCCTTTCTCTCTACAAAAAATCAATAAAAATATATTTTTTTAAAAAATTATACTTCTAACCACAAGACTATTTTCCTGTTCTGTGAAAAAGTGTTAAATAGACCAGTGGTAGGCAAACAGTGGCTCACAAGCCACATGCGGCTCTTTAACCCCTCGACTGTGGCTCTTCCACAAAATACCACGTGCACACACATACAGTGCCACTGAAACTTTATGGCCCATATGCAGAAGTCGGTTTTCGGCTCTCGTTGTGCTGTTGATATTTGGCTCTGTTGACTAATGAGTTTGCCGACCACTGAAATAGACAATGCTTAGAAAACTAGCAAGAACCTCCTCCCTAGAGAGGGTATGTATGGGGGGGCAATGTTAAAATATGTACACAAATAATTTAATTAAAAAAATGAAAAAAAGAACCCCCTCCCCGCATCCAAATTACTTAATCATTTCATTTTTTTTTTTTAGTAAGATGGAATTAGGATTAAAAAGAGTTAGAATGACACATCTGAAAATGATCTGTTCTTAGTACAAAGAAATAGCAAATTGTGAAAATAGAAAAGATCTTAATTGAATCTATCTCTATATAGATCATCAAAACTTAAATTTTACTTTGTACAGCTGACCAGTAAACGTGGCACAGTTATATGTTGCTAACATGCTAACTCATGCTTACATGCTAACTTTTTCTTCCTAAAGAGTTAAACTTTTCAGCATAATAGGCAATATGTGCCTCCCTTACCAGTCCAGAGGCCTGGAAGGTCTGTGCCTGTTTCAGCAGCCAGTGGAGATGGGCCCTCCAGCTCACCTCCTCCCTCCAGTTGTAAGATCACAGCCGGTTTGACAAGTGGAAATCCTGTTTTGGGGGAAAGGGAATAGGAGAGAAGGGTGAATAGCCTACCATGGGTGATTCCTAAGCCTCTTCTCTGATTGTGTTGGCAATGGGGTGGAGGGCAGGGGAGGGTAAGAGCCCCAGGTTGTCCATGTGAGGGGGAGGGGAGGCTGGAGAGGTGAGGGAGAAGTCGACAAGGGCCCGGATCGTGGGCACAGGAGACATCATGCAGAGCAAACAGAATCTGCCCAAAGGGACACCACTTTGTGACCTTGGCCGGAGATACTCAGAATACACAGACATCCTTGGAAAGACCCAAGATGCAGGTGAGGGGGAACTAAAGATAACGCTGTATGTCACTTTTTCCACATTGTCTAGAACACAGCTTCCATAGGGTGCATAGAGGGCGCACACTAGTCCCAGCAAAGTCCTATATTGACCCAAAAAGGGCTTGGGGCTTGCCCTTCCCAGAAATCCCTGCGTCTAGGGAATTAGTAACCTCAGGCTCTGGTGTCCCCCCTGCAACATGTATGGGAAGGTCAGGAAGCCCCAACCAAGAAGCCTGGGTCCAGGGGGAGAGGCCTTACCCAGCGAGGCCACATTCCCGAAATTCTCCAGCATCACGTCCCTGTACAGGGCCCTCTGGGCGGGGGACAGACCGCCCCACTCCGCTGGGGTGAAGTGCACAGCCACATCCTCAAAGGTCACCGACTTCTGAAACAACAGGTTCCTGCTGTCCCAGGGCCGATCCCACGGCTCAGGCCCTAAGTGGGGGGCAGAGGGCAGTGTGAAGGCTCAGAGAGGGAGCTCCCGAAGAGCATGAAAGTCATAACCCGGCAAAAATGTGAGAAAAATACCTGGGTACATCGGACTTCTCTCACGGCAGAGAAACCTCATGCTGTTTTGAAACTTCTAAAAGAGAACGTAGCCACTCCCACATGGGCAAATACAGCTCGGGACCCACCCGCCAGCATTCCCACTTCATCTCCTTGAGGTTCTGGCTTCTCCATCCTGCTCCCAAAGAATGGCCATGGCGTCCTCTCATCCAGCCCCATCTGCAGCCTGATCCGCGTCACCAGCTTCCCAGCAGGGGGCTGTGCAGCCTCTGCTTCAGAAGCTCCAGCAGAGGCCGCGCAGTGCTGCCCGGATCAGCTTGGGGTGAGGGGGTGGCAGCAACAGCCGTTCTGCTTCCAGATGAATCTTGCTGAACACCTGACATTTTGTTACCCTCTCCCATTCAAGCCTCATCCTTTCCAACGCCATCCAAGGTTTGGACGAGACGGGAGCTCGGCGTTCCTGCTGGCCAGCCCCTCAAACACCCCATGGGCTGCTCCTCTTTGCATCAATAGCCTATGCAGCCACTCAGGGCTGACGCTGCATACCTGCAGGCCCGGCCCCCGCCTCCTGGGCGGCTGGGCTGCACACTCCGGCTGCTCTCTGTACCCACCCCCCCCCACTCCAGCCTTCTCTAACCACCTTGTGGGGACACACTGGCAGGGATTTGCCCTCAACTCCTGTTTTCCAGGATCTGACTTGGTTGACTCTGCCAACCTCCACCCAGCAAATACTCTAGTCAGCTTCTGGGAGTTACTGGGACTTCACTCGCTGTGTGACAAGTCAAATAACTCCTCTGCACATTTCACTTCTCATCACCGTCCTTCACCCAGGTGAGCGGGTGCCGCCTCCTGAATGCAAACCTCGGTTGGTGTCATCCACCACTATCTGTGCAGGAAACCTCAGCTAGAACCCTGGGGATCCTTTCTTGACTCCTTCCTCTCCCTTACCCCCCCGACCTCCTTACTCTGACTCTAGGTCCTAAAGGTTTTTATGTGAAGCATGACCAGAATTAGACCCTCCTCTTCAACAGCTGCTTTCCCGATGGAGCCCAGGTCGCCTGGACCAGCGGACTTCTTTCTGAGGTGCTTGCCCTGCTTTTGAACCTCCCCGAACCTCCCCGAAAGAGACAGCCACCACGAATCTGACCACGTTAACTCCTATGGCCCCACAGAAGGCCGGGCCGTTAAGAATCGCACAATGGCTGTGAGACCCTGGGAGAGTCACTCTCTCCCCTCTGCCTTCGGGTCTTTTGTGGTGTAACGAGTCCAGCACAGCACCTATCTCAGAGGTCAGTTGTCAGGAATGAGCGATCCATGCAAAGTGCTTAGTATGGTGCCTGCGGCATTGAAAGCCTCACACGGTGTGACTGTGGTTACTGTGACTATGGCTTTCCCAACCTGCAGTCCATGGGGGTCCATGGATGAGCTTCGGGGGATTCATGAAGTCCCTGAAATTGTATGGAAAACTTGGTTTGCACATACATTTTTTTCTGGGGGAAGAGGGTCCAGAGCTCTTGTCAGAGACCTGCAGTGCGAGCCACTGCACCCCAAGCCCTGACAGCCCCTCAGGACACAGTGAGACAGCCTGGCCCACAGGCTCCCAGGGTTCCTCCTCCCTGGCCCCCGCTACCCTCCTCTTCCCCTGAACGAGAAGCACAGCCCTCCTTTACGTTGATCTGATTCCCCTTCGCCTGTGCCTGGTCCCTGGGGATCCCAGTCCTCTGCTGCCTCCTCCATTCACACCCACGCGGAGCGTCCTACCTGGGCAGTCCCCACACCTCCTCTTCCCCAGAGCCCTCTGCTGAGGGGTCGTTTGGAACTGCTCAGACCAAGACCCGAAGAACCTACCGCTCACCTGGGGCCAGGCTGTCGGGAGCACGGCTGCCATTGCTCGTCTCCTCCTCAGAGAAGGGCTGGAGCTGAGGAGAAGCACAGAGGGAGACCAGTGTGAGGTAAGCCACCCCTGCCAAGAAGAGAAGATCTAAGATGCAGGCAGCCTGTGTCCAGATAGGAGAGTGGGCAGGAGCTGCCATAGGAAGAAGGGGGTGATATGTTCAATTACTCGGTACCCCGGACTCCTCCCAGCATGACCCTGATGCTCACTGCCAGGAACCCTAGGATTTTACACACACACACACACACACACACACACACACACAGTGTACATAAAAATGTATGCAGAGCCTAGAGAATAAAACAAAGATTCGAGTAGCAGTGCTTCAGCTCAAGAGACAGAAGAATACCAAGATCTTTTATTTATTTCTCTCTCTAAACAAGTATCATCCTTGTCACCCTGCAAGAGAAGACAGGCGGGAGGCAGCTGCTCCCCCACATCTGCCGGTCTCCTCACACATGAGTGTCCTCCAGCCTCTAATGTCTCCATAGAGAGCTTGGGAGGTCAGCCTCCCCCGTGGCCCAAGCTTACCTCAGGAAGCTGGGCCAGAAGAGAGGGGCCGGGCTGCCACCTCATCCTTTCCAGCCTTCAAGGAAGCCGAGACCTCGGCTCCCTGGGAGAGGGGATCGCTGTGAATGTAGGGCCCCATGACCCAAAGCCCCTTGCTCACAATGTTCAAAAACACACAGAGTGGCTATTTTCTGATTCCCATGGATCCTAAAATCAGTCTTGAAAATGCACACTTTCCTAAAATTTCATCTCTGTCTTCCAGGATTTCAACGTTAACATAGCTGTGGAAAAATCTGGTTTATGACTTTTTTCACTTCCTCTATGTCCCCCCTAATTGATTTTAATTCATTAATTTCTTTGTCCTAGGTTGTTTCTTTGGCTCTGTAAGAAACACCTTATGCACCACTCCATTCCTCTTGTCTCACTTAGTCCTGTTCCAGACGCTTAATTCAGCTTTGTGCAGCCCACCAATACCTCTGCAAGGATCTGCACCACCGATGCCTGGGTCCTGCCCTTGGCTTCTCTGCTGTCCTGGGTGGGGCCCCTGCGGAAACCTGTGGGCACTTGCCAGTCCCTCAAGTGCAAGAGAGTTAATGCCTGTGGTGCCACCCTTGACCAACAGGGGGCAGAGGTCAATGGATAAATTTTTCCCCGTTAGACCCCCAAATGAGATTCCAAAGCTCCTCCAAGACCCTATAAGACGGAGCAGCAATCAGATGCAGACAGGCCAGGTGACAAAGCACCCCTGTGCTGGCTCTCCTTCCTTCTCTGTCAGGCCCTTGTCTTTCCCTCTGTCCCAGGACTCAGTTCCCAAATAAATCACCTGACACAAATCTCTGCCCTTTGTCCTACTTTTGGGAAAACTAGACTATAAAGGCTTTTTTTTCAGACTTCTTATGGGCACAAAGCTTATTCATTTATTTTCATACTTTCCTATTTGGCAATTAAAACCTGTAAGGCCATAAATTTTCCTTTGAATACACAATTAGCCACATACCAGAGGTTTTATGTCATGGTTTTGTTGTTTTGTTTTGTTTTCTTTAATATATTTTATTGATTTTGTACAGAGAGGAAGGGAGAGAGATAGAGAGTTAGAAACATCGATGAGAGAGAGTCATCGACCAGCTGCCTCTTGCACACTCCCTACTGGGGATATGCCCGCAACCAAGGTACATGCTCTAGACCGGAATCGAACCCGGGACCGTTCAATCCCTAAGCTGGCGCTCTATCCATTGAGCCAAACCGGTTTCGGCTTATGTCATTTTAATTGCTACTTGATAGTTGGTGTTTAGTCTCTGACCAAAGAATTTTCAGGATAGTATATTATTAATTTCCTAATTAAATTCATAATTTCTGGCTTTACTGTATGGTGTTTGTATAGCCTGATACACTTACTTCAGCTTTACAAATTTTTGAGAGTTAATAGCTGAAGTGCCCATTTAAAAAATAGTCTATAGATGCTTAAAAACATTATAAAATGGAAAAACATATAATTCTATGTGAATTTAATAAATCAACTCTACCAATTTTATTACATAGATTTTCTCTGTAATCCATTCCTAATGAAACAGAGATAGCCAGTAAAAAGTGAACTTATAAAACACTGAGCCCATGTATATCACAGGCAAATCTTGAAAAAATGAGTAATTCTAACATTATTTAAACTGTACCAGAGATAAGCAATATAAGTTTCCCAATCTTTTTAAAAAAATATATTTTATTGATTTTTTACAGAGAGGAAGAGAGAGGGATAGTTAGAAACATCAATGAGAGAGAAACATCGATCAGCTGCCTCTTGCACACCCCCCACTGTGGATGAGCCCACAGCCAAGGTATATGCCCTTGACTGGAATCGAACCTGGGACCCTTCAGTCCGCAGGCCGACACTCTATCCACTGAGCCAAACCGGTTTCGGCAGTTTCCCAATCTTTTGATCATGCCAATGTTAGCTAGGACAAGAGTCTCGAGGTCTGGGCAGATCTTGTTAAGTTGAAAATGTAGCACAGTATTTTGCAGATGCAGCTTATCCCCTCAGGATGAGCTTGACCTCTCAACCCAAGAGTTTTGCCAACAGCCCCCAACCTCCAATAAAGAAAGAACTCCACACACAATTAACCAAATTCAGATAAGTTTAGCCAACTGCAAAGAAGAAATCAACATGTAATTGACCAAACAGTGTATAAAGCAAGGCTAAACTTCTCTTCCAGGAAGCAGATCTGGATGTGATCTGGAAGCAGATCTGGTCTCCTTTACTTGCTGCGAGTAAATAAAACTACCTAACAACAATTATGTCTCCTTGACTAGAACCCCCTAAGCAGTGGACCCCTTGAGTTGGGTAACATCAACACAATACTGACACAAAACCATAGACAAGCCTCATTTGTGAATATTGATGCAAAAGTTGTAAATAGTAAGAAATAAGACCCCAGTAGTCCATTAAAATGACATATCATCATCCCATGAACACAAGTAAACTTCAATATTAGGATATAGATTAGTATACTTTTCCACATTAACAAACCAAATAAAGGTAAATATACTCTTCATCTCAATAGCATTTGATAAAATTTTACATTCATGCTTAAATTAAAAAACATAAACCCTAGAGAAACTCATATGTGGGAGATATGTCCAGAATCATTATTAGCAGTTTGTTAACAGCCAAAAACTGGAAGTAACACACATGTCCACTGAGAATGCATAAATAAGTTATCATACAGTTTTTTACAATGGAACATTGCCCAGCAGCAAAAATGAATGACTCACAACATGGATGAATTTACAAACATATGACTACAGACCTTATGCTGTCATTTTCACAAAGCTCAAAAGCAAACACATTATTTACATATACATACACATATGTGACAAAATGATTTTTAAAAACAGGTAAGGCTACATTAACACCAAACTCAAGACAGCTGTTACTTCTCAGAGTGGGAAGCTGGGAGTTGGGTTGGGGCAGAGCACACAGACAGATGCCTCAGTACTGGTCATGTTCTCCTCCTTAATGGGGTGGTGTGTCCATGGCTGCTCATTTCACTATGCTTAACTGTCATAGTAGATGCAATCTTGTGTATACATGAATGGCATTTTAAAAAATATATAATTATCTCTATGATATGGGTGATTTTCAAAGTATATTGTTAAATAAAATTAAAAAAACCAAAGTGCAAAAACAGGAGTATAAGAAAATATGTGTCTGGTCATGTATGCAAAAAGAAACGGAAGGATAAACCAGAAATCAAGGAGAGTGGTTACACCAGGTGTAGGTGGGAAGTGGGTGAAAGGAACCCTGGAATGGGAGGATGGGAGGAAACTGGGTAGAAGGGACGAGGAAGGAGTGTTATGTCTCTGAGTGTGCCTTTGGTTCTTTTATAACCAGAGTAATGTTTCACATATCCAAATAAATAAATAAATAAATAAATAAATAAATAAATAAATAAATAAATAAATATAATCAACCAACCAGGATGGGATGGTGGTGATGACCCAAAAAAGAAACACAAACATCATCAAATGAGCCTAACTCTTCTGCAATTGAGTAGCGTAACCACACTGAGATGGTGGGAAAGACAAGAAGTAAGTAACTTTGGAAAACAGTATTTTAACTAGATACTAAAAGCTATAAAGACCAGTACTTAAATGCTGCCCTCTTGTGACAATGGGAAAAACTAATATGTCAGGAGGCTATTAAGGAAGTGGGGTCTGTGCACAGGTTGTGCCTGTTTTCGGAGCTCCTTTTACTGTTGCCAGCCCTGTTGTTGCCCTGTAACAACAAACAGAACACAAAACCTGTTGCTAAACTCAGCTCAAGGCAGAGACATAAACATGCGGAAACCATAAACATCTGAGAACAGCTGCTACATGGACACAGATGGAATTTATCCTTCCTTCGTTCGCACCTCCCTCCTTTCCATATTGGAACTAACCAAACCCTATTAACGTGGCCGGCAATACCTCAAGTGCAGGAAAAAATTACCAAAATGATTTGTGCCTTTATAAACCCTGCCGCCTTTCTTCGTTCTCTCCACAGCTTAGTTTGGGTTGTTACCTGAATCCGCTCCCCTTGGATTCGAATCCTTTAAACTTGTTTCATGGCCTCAGATCTTTGCTTGTTGACATTAGTAAACTTGCTTTCCATAAGAGTATGAATGAGCAATTCTGGAATTATTTTAAGCGTATTCTAGGACTGAACAAATCACTAAGTACACTGTAGCAATCACCCCCAGGTCACTGTCATCCCCCAGGTGGGGAGTAGGGAGGAGCAGTTACCTTTTGGGAACTGATACCGCTCCAGTAAGCAGACGACGCCTTCCTTCCAAAAGCCGGTTTCTTCTGCTCTGGGGTGGGCGGAGGGGCCCTGCCTTTCCTGCTCTTCCCCTGGGCCTGGCTTCACGGCCCTGTGTCAGGAGCCAGCGAGCACACCACCCACCCTCGGTGAAAGCCCCTGCATGGCCTCCACCTGTCAGAGCACTCGTGATTACCCCTCCAGGCCGCTTCCCCCCTGCAGATATCCCACCCACCGGCTGCTCCGACACGCCTTCCCGAAGGTCAGCAGCATCTCTCCCCGACTGCCTGGGGCTTCGTGGCTACGACAGCAACTTGGGCTTCGCTTCCCACGGGGACGGAACGTATTCGTCCAAAGCGGGAGTCAGAGAGGGGCCGCCGACCTGCTCCCGCCTCCCTCCTCCCTCCTCCAGGGGTGGGCAACCCAGCGCCTACCCGGGCGGAAGGGCAGCCCTAACGCGCAGAGCCGGGGTGCCACCCCACCATCCAAAGTGCCATCCTCACCTATGCCGCTCTGGGACCCGCCTCCGCTGCCCGCGGCTCCGCGGGGAGGCCGGAAGTGCGTCACTAGGCTGTGGCCGAGCCCCTCTAGGAATACAGCCGCTCCCTCTCGGTGGTGCTCTGGCCCCGCCCCCGGCGCTGGAAACCTCAGCGCCCGGGCGTCCGGCGCTCTTTGTCCCTTCCCCAGGGGCTCATTCAAAGCAGTGTTTGCTCTTCGGGGTGCGTCTCAGTCAACCCAGGGGTGGTGCTGGGGGTCTGCATCTTAGTAAAGCTGCGGTGCAACCAGATTTGGGAGTCTACGGACTGGATTCGGTGGGTTACACAGTATCAAAACCAAGCCCACCTCTTTTTTGTAACAAATATTTCCTAGTGACCAGTTTATTCTCTTGTCATGAAAACCATAGATAATACTCAGGAAAGCAGAGTTTATAATGTAAACAATTTACATTTTAAAAACAGTTATGCCTTGACTGAAGTAAAGGAGAAATAAAAATACTTTGTAATTGAAAACACATTTCAATATGTAAAGGTTTGGTCATGACTGCTGCTGTAGGAGACCTAAGGGAGTGGTCAGATATTTGCCTTTGCCCTTAGGATGTGCCTGAATGCCACAGCCACACTGCTGTGTCTTACATTGGTGTTCCAAAACTCACAAGGTGGGATCCAAACTGGTGAACCCTTTTGGTGAAGTTTAAACGAAACACTGTACAATCTTGTCTTGATCATATTCCTGGAGAATCAGCAAATGTTAGAACTGCAAAACCACACTGTGTTTACCTTAAAAACAAGTTCTAGATTCAGGTATTTAATAAGCAGTTTTTACCTCCATGAATGTCAAGCAAGGCCAAAACAAAAAACTTTTTGTTTTGTTTTGTTAATCCTCACCGGAGGTTATTTTTCCATTGATTTTTTTTTTCTTTTTGCGTGGAAGGGAAGGGGAGGGACAGACAGACGTGGACTCATTACCTTCCACACTCACCTGACCAGGGCCAGGACCCAGGATGGAGCCTGCAGCCCAGGTACATGCCCTTGACTGGAATTGAATCCAGGACCCTCCGGTCTGCAGACTGAGACTTATCTATTGAGCCAAACTCATTAGGGCTATGAACTTTCAGTAGGGAGAACCATCCTGTGCATTGCAGGATTTGTGGCACTCCTGGTTACCACCAAACACCAGCAAAAACACCCCCCATAAAACTCTAAAATAAGCCCTTGGATAAGGGTCCCTCCCAAGTCTGATAGCGTTGGCCTTTCTCATTCCAGCCCTGACCCCTCCCTTTCCTGCACTGGAAGGTGGTTGGAGGCCTGCACTTGACTTTCCAGCCTCAGCACTCCCGTTCTCCCCCTCTCCACTTCAGCCCCACTTGCTGAACATCTTGTTGTACCTACCATGCCCTTCCCTTCCCATTCCCATCTCTGTCTTGACTGTTACTTGGTCTCAGCCAAATCCCATTTCCCTTGGAAAGCAAGTCTTCCCTGACCACCAAGTATAAGGGATGCCGGTCAGTTATAAGGCATTGCAGTGTTCTGTACTTCAGTGCTTACTACATTTGTGCTTATTTAATAGTGATGGTTTATTTAAACATGTTTTCTCTGATCACTCCCAAGAGCAGGGACTATAGTTACCTTGTTCAACACCATTATCCTCAGCTCAAGTACAAGGCCTGGCACGAAGGAGGTATGTAATAAATGTTTGTTGTTGACATAATCCAAAGGCTCCAGCTCTAGCTCTGACTCCACTCCAACTCCAGGGCAGAACCCTTCTTTATTTCTGTGGCACTGGAGTCAGGATATGTCCTCTACCCGGGATTTCTGACTACTGCTAGGAGTTCCTCTCTGCCTTTTCCTGATCCTGAGCAATTTACATGGCTTCTCTTTCAGAGAGGAAAATAGCCCCACAATTGGGCAGTGATTGCTAGGGACGATATTGCTCTTGACAATAAAGGTTTCCACTTCTTCCTAGGCTCAGAAAAATAGACCTTTAGCTAGGAATAAAGGCTGGTCTAAGGAAGAAATTAGCATATCAGTGTCACAGAAATGTTGATTCCAAATGGTGGATCACAAAAAGTCACCTAATTTTATAGGTAAGAAAATAAGATCTCCTAAATAATCATAAAGCCCTGATTCTTAAAACAGGTACACACCAGGTTACAAAAGATCTACAGAAGGCATGCAGAAGCAGAGACCACTTGTCAACCTCTGTTCTTCCCTTCTTGTCCAGTAACAAACTCTCTAGATCAACGGGAAGGGTGGGCATGCAATTCTAGACACACACACGGCTGGAAAAGCTACAATAGCCTGGCATTAACCAATCTGGTGCCTTTAACAGTATTCATTCCAAATAAAAACCAAGAAAACAAAATGAAAGTATTAGTGATAGCTTTTGGTTACATAGATAAGGCGTTTCTTGAGAATGAGCTCACTAAAATGTTTGTCACAGAGCTTAAGCTGTTAGAACTTCAATCTACTGGTGTTGTCCTGATGCAACCTAGGCCCTCATGTGTTCCAATGGGTTTCCTATTCTTGTTACAATGACCAGGGCTGCTGGGACCATAGTTGAAGACTTTCCCATACATCATACACACAAAACATTTCTCCTAAAGATTAGATTATATCAATTATTAAAATCTAGTGGTCTGATGCACAAGATTTTGTGCACTCCAGAGGGTCCTTCAGCCCTGCCTGCACCCTCCCCCAAGTCTGGGAGCCTTCAGGGGATGTCCAACTGCCGTGGAGGTGGGAGAGGCTCTCACCAATGCCACTGCACTTGCCAGCCTTGAGCCCCGCTTCTGGGGAATGGCATTCCCCCTAGGGGAGCACAATGACCACCAGGGGCAGTTCCTTCACTAAGCATCTGTCCCCTGGTAGTCAGTGTGCATCACAGCAATCGGTTGTTCCACCATTTGGTCAATTTTCATGTTAGCCTTTTATTATATAGGACTAGAGGCCCTGTACACAAAATTTGTACACTGGTGGTATTGGGGGTTGGTCCCTCAGTCCAGCCTGCCCCCTCTCACAGTCTGGGAACCCTCAGGGGATATCCTACTGACAGCTTAGTCCCGCTAAGCCACAGTCTAGCCCCCCTCTGCAGGTGTCAACTGGGCTGATCAGGGGAAGACACTACCTCCATCACCCCACTGCTGCTGCCACTGCTGGTCACTACAGCCGCCAAGGTGTTTTCAACACAAACTTCAGACCCTTCACTATGAAAAAATTACAACTTTCTTTTGGCATTTTCAAGATGTGTCTCGTAAGATACGACATTTTTCTTCCTTTTTTTTTTTTTTTTTAATCCTCACCTGAGGATATGTTTCCATTGATTTTCAGAGAATGTGGAAGAGAAAAAGGAAAAACATAGAGAAACATCGAAGTGAGAGGAACACTGATTGGTTGCCTCCTGAATGAGTCCTGACCTGGGCCCCAGTCAGGGAGGAGTCTGCAACCTAGGTACATGCCCTTAATCAGAATCAAACCCAGACTCTGCAGTCCGCAGGCTGAGGCTCTATCCACTAATCCAAACCAGTTAGGGCAGGATATGACATTTCTTAGCCCCTCTAGCAACGGACCTGCATTTTTCCCTCCAGGAGTGAGGTGGAAAAACCCTAGATCACTTTTTTGCATTCTTATTGCCCAAATTACCAAGAACACTGAGAGTAGCATACTGGGAGCTTAGCTAATGAGCGGTCAGAAAATGTGTTTCTCACATACAGAGGTGGGACTGCTGGCGTGTCCTGGTGAGCAGGCCCCCATCTCCGCTCTGGGCCTGCTCAGGCTGCCACGGCATCCATGGCTTGCTTCATCTTCCATACAGTCCCCTCCCACCCACCTGTGTGCACAGCCTCCTCCTGAGCATTTGTGACGTTGTCCCAGAAAACTTGCATATTGCCCATCTCATTTATATGTATTTATTAGACCGATAAGGCACCACTCCAAGGAAAGAAAACCTAACTCAAACTTGCTTGAGAAAAACAAAACTGTATTGGTTACTGGAATTTAAAAGCCCAGATGTATTTCTAGCTTTAGACATAGTTTAATGTAGTTGTTCAAATGGAACTCTCAAGACTGATTAATCTCCAATTCTGATTTCTTTTCTGCTGTGTTGAGTCTATTCTCAGCTTCCACAATAATCCAGGAATTCCTCCCAGGTTTAAGACTAAGGGATAAGAACAGGATTTCTTCCTGTTGAGTCTGGCCACATCATGGAACTCTTAACTGGACCATCTTGGGTCACCTACTGACAGAACCACCATGGCCACGCCAGGTCGGGGTCACACATTCTACTCTTGAGTAGAAGATGGAGTTCCAAAGAAAAGTGAATATACTACCAGTCAAAGGGGGTAAAAAACTCTGGGAGGCCAAAATGACAAATGTCCAGCTCAAGTTTCTCTCCAGGACGGACATGCTCAAGATCACCTAGCTGGGAAGAAGTCCTAAAGGCTTTTCCATACTTGACACACCCATGGGGTGTCTTTCCAGTATGGATTCTTTGATGCTGAAGAAGACTTCTTTTCCTCCTGAAGACTTTTCCACACTCATCACATACACAGGAAGACTCCTGAATATGGGTCTTCAGATGCCTTTTTAATTGTTCCTGAGCACTGAAGGCTTTTCCACAAGCTACACAGTCAAAGGGTTTCTTATCGCTGTGGATTCTCTGGTGTCGACTTAGTTTTTTATGCAAGTTGAAGGCTTGCCCACATATTTTACAAGAGTAAGGCTTCTCCCCTGTGTGAATACGCTGATGTTGCATAAGATAGTAAGTCCTTCCGAAGCTTTTGCCACATACATTACATTCGTAGGGTTTCTCTCCACTGTGAGTTTTCTGATGTCGAAGTAGTGGTGAATTACCAACGAAAGCTTTTCCACACTCGCTACACGCGTAAGGTTTCTCTCCAGTGTGGATTCTCCGATGTATAACAAACTCAGAACTATTGGTGAAGCCTTTCCCACACTCCTGGCAGTGATAGGGTCGGTCCCCACTGTGGATTCTCTGATGCCTCATCAGGTTGGCGTTATCATTGAAGGCTCTCCCACACTCCGCACACTGATAGGGTTTCTCTCCAGTGTGGATCCTCTGATGCCGAATCAATGAGGAATTGCCATTGAAGGCTTTTCCACACTCATTACACTGAAAGGGCTTCTCCCCCGTGTGGATTCTCTGGTGTCTAACATAGTGAGAAAAATAGCTGAAACACTTCCCACATTCCTCACACCGGAGGGGTTTCCCGTCACAGGGGATTCTGGGAACCTTTCTTCTACCATTTTTCCTTGTGGAGATTTCCTGGTGCTTCTCCAGTTTACATGTTTCTAGGAAGTTGCTTCTTTGAGGAGCACTCTTCTGCAGATCATAAGACACCACCAAAACTCTGTTTTCAGAAATTCCCTGTACTGATGTGGACTCACTGCCAATGTTGGTTTCAGTATCTGACATAAACAGAAAGCACAAGTGCCACCTGAGAATTATACCAGAAACAAAAGAACATTAAATAACATAGAGCTTTTAGAGATTACTATTTCAACTTCCACCTCGGTCTTTTAGCAATAAAAGTGCCAAATATCGTGGGCAGAGAACTATCGAAGTATAATAGAACAGGGTGTCAACATACACATGACACGACAGACTGCTTCCTAAGCTTTTCCAGACTCTGTATTTGGATGGCTTGTCCCTAGAATGTTCTAGTATCTTTTGACCTTAGGTACTTATGGGTCTACAAAATGCCAAAGAAGCTACAGGTTCAAAGATTAATAGTGATATTGAGGCTGGCCAAACTCAGTGTCACTGCTATTGCTCCATGTTCTGTTTTGCCTACTCTCTCATTTCCTATTTCTGTGCTGTAAATTCAGGACAGAGCCCTCAGGCCCACCACAAAGTCTGCATTCTAGATATTCCACACAATGCTGGGTAGGTAAGACAGACCAAATACATTTACCTAACCCATAGGCGGAGGAAAGGGGGGAAGGAGGGGGCAGGATGCACTGCAGACTCTATGCCAGCCCCAGATTCTAGGAAGTCTTGCTTAGGTTCTGAGTCCTTTTGCACTACTTACTAGAAAAGACAGAGGCATACTTGTAAGTGGGCTCCAGAAAAAAAATACCCTTTTAAATTATGCTCCCAGGTTATTCTCCTGCACATTATGCTGCAAAGTTCTTCACAATGATTTACTGGAGCCTTTTCTCCCTTCCTCAGGCCAGACAGTCTACCTTCTTTTTCTTCACATGATATCCACTGTAAACAGTCACATTCAGAACAAATGGCACTACCTCTGAAGACGCATTACTTGAGCTTCTAAATGGTAATTCCGCTAAGTTTCCTGCTGAGCTCCCACTGCCCATCTACACATTTTTAAAAAGCTTTTACATCGATCTCCACAACTTGTGTCCTCTAGAGCAGCAGTTGCCAACCAGTGGTCCGTCAGGTCCAAAAAGTTGGCAACCACTGATATAAGGAAACCTTTGGAGCAGCAGTCACCATCCATGAAGTCTGAAAGGTTGGCGACTGATGCTCTAGAGTATTAAACAAAACTTGGCACACTCTGTCGGGAAGGGTTTGGCTCAATGGATAGAGCGTCGGCTTGGGGACTGAAAGGTCCCGGGTTCGATTCCGGTCAAGGGCATGTACCTTGGTTGCAGGCATATCCCCAGTGGGGGTGTGCAAGAGGCAGCTGATCGATGACTCTCTCTCATTGATGTTTCTAGCTCTCTACCTCTCTCGCTTCCTCTCTGTATAAAATCAATAAAATATATTAACAAACAAACAAAAAAAAAAAACCTGGCACACTCAAGTGCTGAAAAGCTGCTCCTAAGTAAATCTATCCTGTACAAAGAAGAAGGGCCATCGAGGTAGACAATCCTGAAACTCAGAAGGGAACAAGAGAGAGATGCATGAAGAGGAAATAGTTATCTTGATAAAAATTAAAATTGGTGGGAATGGTTTCATATTTTACCTGTTAGGAAAATCATCTATTTCAATGCTCACCAGCATGGTGAATTTTAAAATATACTGTTCTGTAAAGCCCACCAGTTGCCCATTTTAAACTTGCCTCCTTCACCTTTACAGACGTGTGTGCTCCTCTCTGCAGGTGGGTCATCCTGTGCCTCCAGAAGTGAGATGAGGGCAGATTTGGGAACTGTGAATCCTGAAAAGGGGGATAAAATGGCACCTTTCAGCCCTGGGCCTGCTATATCAAAAAAAGGAAAACTGCCCGGCCGGTGTGGCTCAGTGGTTGAACCATGCAGTGGGGACACCAGCAACAACCCCTCCCTCCTTCTCCACACCATACCCCCAGCCCATAAGGAAAAAAGAAGGAAGCAGGAAAGCATAGATCTGAGTCCAGAAGGAAAGTAGCCTTACCCAGGGATGTCAAGTTCCTGTAATTCTCCAGCATCACACTTCTGCACAGGGCCCTCTGTGCAGAAGAGAGGCCAGCCCATTCTGCTTGGGTAAAGTGCACAGCCACATCCTCAAAGGTCACCACCTCCTGAAACAAGAGGTTCCCGCTGTCCCAGAACCAATCCTCTGACTCGGAGCCAGAGTGTGGGACACGGGACAGTTTGAGAGAGGAGTCCTATAAGAGATGGCTAATGAGAAAAGGTAAAAGAACAGGTGTTAGGCCATTAAATGACTATTTCTATAACCAACAACCTGGAAGTTGTCTATCAGAAGAGCTTCCTTTGGAACACTGTTATAAAACATGATAAAACATTTCAAAAAGCCTGGAGAGTCTCCCATTATTCACCTTCTCAGAGCAAAATCTCTCTGACTTTGTAGATACTGTCAGTCTTTCACTGTTACACCTACAAGTGGGCAATTAGCTTCAGAATGTCTGGACACTCACTCCCAGGTGGCATCTCAGGACTACCTGCTCCCCCTTCACTGCCCCAGTGCTCACTCTGCCCCAAACCTCAAGCCCACACAACAAGGACAGTCACGGTTTGCCATGATGAGCCCTTTGCATCCAACCCCCATATGTCGTTTGAAGACTGCTGTGCTGTCTGTGCTCAAGATCATCCAGCAGAGGGAGTCGTGCTGCCTGAGGCAGCCTAGCATTCTGCTTCCTGATGTGTCTTCCTAGAATACGCTTCTGGAATGGAACTGCTGCTGGTAGCCCTTTTAGCCTTATATCTTTATAGACCCAGCACAATCTGTAAGAGCTCTTGCCAACCAAGCCTCGGGGTTTTTTCAACAGCTATCTTGCCCCTTCCAGATGGCCCCAAGTCTACCTTCCCAGAAAGCTCCAGCATCTAGTTAGGCCTTCTATTCACCCCTTGGACTTTAGTATCAGACGTGGTTACCTGACCATGTGGTGAATATCCTCCCACTTTCTAACACCTTGACTGATTCTGCAGATCTGCCCCTTCCACTAATCCCCATGCCTCACACTCTCTGCTGACCCAACATGTCTGACCCACCAGCTAACACTAATCATCCGCCTCCCTAAACTGCTTCCCTCTCTAACTCACATAAACTAATTCACACGGTAAGTGACAATTTTCTTTCCCCATCTCAGTTGGCAGTAGCAATTTCAGCACGTTTCCTACACCAGAAACTTAAGATTCATCCTAGACTAACTTGCCCCCGTCACTGCTCACTTCTAACAGTTGGTAATCAAATCCTGCCAATTTTATTGCCAAAATATTTCTGGAACCGACTCTTCACTATTGTACAATCCGTACACCAACTCAACAGATAGGGACCTTAAACAGCTCCAATTCCAGCTGTCCCACACTGAATCCATCTTCTGCCGGCACATACAATGATCTATTTTAAATGACAGCCTGACCCACTCAACTGAATGATTTAATAAGTCACCACTAACTACAAGAGTGGTTCTCAAAGCGTGGGCCCCAGGGCAGCAGCACCGGATAACTTACTTATTGGTAAGGCACGCTGGCAGGCCTCAACCGAGAGCAAAAGTTCCATCAGTGAGCCCCCAGCTGATTGTGATCCACACTAAAATCTGAGAAACCCGGACTAGAAGATACAGCCCACACTCAGGAAGTAAGATGTACCAGGTGACGAGTGGACAGTGGGGGAAAGGCACAAGACTGTAAACAGAGACACTAGCTGGGAAGGTCTTCAAACAAAATCCCAGAGAAGAACCAACCTTGAAGGAAGGCAATATGAAATACGGGACAAGTGGGAGAGGTAGTAGGCAGAAGCAATTAGACTTGCTGACTCTCTGGAAGTGGTACCCAGGAAGAAGTGTCAATAAGCATGCAGCAATCTAAAACTGAGTGTTCAGGACTTCGAGATGGTGATACCAGTGATTCTCCAGTACTTACGGAAGATCAGAAGCCGGATGAGCTACAAGGAAGACATGTATATCAGTGAAACAGTCAGCAGAGGCACCTGCCAGATGTCAGAAATCCAGGATTGGCACTTGGAATATGGCTCATGCTAAGTTATTGGGTAAATAAGTCCCTAGGAAGACATAGTAAATAAAGCAGTACCAGCAACTCATCAGTCTCAAAGAGTGAAATACAAGTCAAAACAAAAATGTCCTTGTCCCACAAATGTAAGGTCCTGAATGTTGATTTTACAAATGAAGTCAGTTAGGATGCAAAGAGGTTAAGCGACTGGTCAAGGCCACTGAGACCTGATGGGATTCCTAACTTCCGGTGCCCTCAGCTAGTGGTTTTCCTGTCAGAGCCCACAGCCTTGCCTCAGCCAGCAGCACCAACCTCAAGGAAGATATACTTCCCTTGATTCTGAAGCCCAAACTCCTCTCTTTAGGATAAATGATATAAGCTCCTTCATTCTTGCCTTCTTCCCGTCACCCTTCTGTTTCAACTTTCCAAGAACCTTGCAACCAGACACCTATACCACTAGCCTGACCCTCATTCTCACAGATCCCTCTAAACCTGGAGACCCTCCAGTATGGAAGAGGCTACAGTTCCACTTCCCAGGACACTCTCTCCAGCCATTGCTTGGTGGGCTCCTAACTGCTCAGTCCCTCACCATCATTGGCTTTTCCCCCAGCGTCCAGTTGGAGAGCATTAACCCCTGTTAATCTTCCTATTGCTTTGACTCCGAGAATTTTGCCAGAATCATCCCTCCCATCATTTCCTTCAAGTCGGGTTTCTCAAAGGTTGACCTGAGGAATTAACAGCTCACCTGGTGCCAGGCTTTCAGGGGCATGGCTGCCATCACCTGGGCTCCTTCTCAGTCAAGGGGCGGGGCTGAAGGAAGAAGCAAAGAGAACCAGAGTAAGCCTTACCCAGTCAAAGGCTCTCCTTAACACCAACAAACGTGCCAACAGCAGCAACAATCGTTTACTAAATGCCCACTGGGTAAGTGGTATATAAATATTTCGATGTCCTTGGGCATCAAAGCCTGTACTCTCCAACATCAGGCAATGCTCTGTCCTAGGTAGGACATCCATACAAGGGGTACTTGAATACACTCAGAGCAAAAACACCAGCAGCAACACCTAACAAGAGAGAACTCAAATCTTCATTAAAAAAAAATATTTTACTAGGAAACAAAAAAGGTTAAAGATAATAGAAACAAATACCATGCTTTTTGGATGAAGTATAGACACCCTCATTGAATACCCACAATAATCTTCTGAACCTTTTCCTTTTCCCCAATGAGAAAACAAGGCTAAGTGAATAATCTTCTCTCCAAGGTCACTCAGTTAGTGGATGGATGAGATGGTGGCAAAACTCAGATCTGCCAATTCCAAAAGTCATGTTTTTTTAATAACTACATTCAGTTGCTTCCAATCTAATCCCAACAGGCTTTTCTCTTAGAACCTGATAAAGTGGTTCTAAGGTAAATATGGAAGAATGAGAAGTCAAGAAATGCAGAGTAAGAGTCTGAGTAGGTCTTCCTTTTCTTGGATCTTGAGGCAGGCATCTTTTTTGTTCACGTCCCATTCAAAGGACCCCGAAGGGCCAACTCAACATGCCAGAATGTAATGGTTGTTATTTTCATTATATCTCCTATGAACATTTCGTATTCTCGTTAGGTAGTCATATTCTACCAAAAAGCCAGCACCTTCCCTACGGAAACTCATTGCAAGGTATAATTTCCTGCTCAGCTCATCTGTGCCACCCTTATTCTTACTTTAGCCACTCCAGCCTTCTTCCAGTTTTTTCTGCTATGCTAATTCAGGACCGATGTACATTCTTCTCCAATCTTAGAACCTTTGTAACTGATTCTGTCCACCTGCAATACTCTCCAACAGCCTGAACCTCTCTTCAGCTAGATAATGCCACTCATCCTTCACTTCATCCTCTACAGGCCAGGTCAGGTCTCCACGTTACACACTCCACTAGTACTGTATTCCCTTCCCTGTGTACTATGTCTCCCATGTTTAAGGTTACACATTGATGTGTGCTTTCTTCATTCAACAAACATCTATTGTATACATTCCAGCCCAAGTGTGAGATACAGTGGAGAGAAAAAAAAAGGTGTGATCCCTTTCGTCACTGGGCTTGGTCTAGGGCAGGCTAAAGGACACACACACATTAATCCAAGAATGTCATAACTTTAACTTCTCAATTGTGACTAGAGCCCGGAAGAATCTATTCTAAATTATAAGCCTGAGCAGGAATTAGCTTGTTTAAAAGGAAAATCTTCACAAAAGTGAAAATAAGTGCAAAAGCTCGTCCCAGAAGTAAAAGTCTGCAGCTGGGGGGGGGGGGGGGGGGGGGGCCTACAACACGAGGGGAAGGAGCTGCAAGAGACCAAGCCACACAGGCCTTGCGCACGTTGAGGACTTGGTCTTCGACCTAAAAGCAACCGGCTGCAGCTACAATGTTAGGACCAGATGGGGTGAGATGATCAGATGTGATTAATATGTAACTGTTCCACTAAACTGAAAGCTCTCTGAGGCCGGGACCCACCTCCCGTCTCACAGCTGCATCCCAGGAACCTAGAACAGCTACAGGGCAATTAGGTGCTCCCTATAAGGTCGCGCAATAGCGCAGAGGGACTCAGTGGCTGTGCCGGGCACGCAGCACGTCTCCCTTCCATTCACAGCCTCCATTCCCCAAAGCGGCCGGGCGAGCAAGGGCACCCGGGGACGAGCGGTCCTGGCTCACAGGCCGCCTCCGACTCCTTCCGCCCCGGCAGCAAGGGCAAAGGCAACTGCCTCCTCTAAGGGTGAAAGGAGCGCTCCCAGCAGGGACTCCCAGGTGACAAACCCCGACACTCACCTCGGGAAAGGCGCAGAGGCCGGCGCGACCGGAAGTGCGTCACACCGAGCGCGTCGCCCACGCCGCACGTGCTTCCTCTCTAGGATGCCAACGCGCGCAGCTCGGTGGTTGTCTGGCGCTACTCCCAGCGCAGGGCTTCCTAACCTGGGATCCTTAGGGACCCTGAGTAGATGAGAAAGTTTATGGTCGTTTCGCTCGTCTCTAAACGACAAAGCACTTCCTTCCATTACGTGTTGCAACAAACCACAGTAGTATCAGTAGTACCTGTGATTTTTGTTAGAAAAATCACAGATATCTTCATCAAATTACAGTGTATATAGATGCAGTATCTCAAAATAAGGGTTATTCTTATCAATAATTTGTTGACATAAGAAATGTCCAAACCTGCAAAAATTTCTATGAGTTTATTTGAGTCAAATCAACAAAAGAACAGTTTGCTGGGAAGCAAAATCTCAATAGATTGAGAAATGGCGGTTTAGCACCTCATTTTATACATTAGGATCAAAAGAGAAGACATGGGGGGAGGGGGGAGGGAGGCGGTACATGAAATCCATTGGTAGATTAGGGAGACAGGAGAAAGCAAAGGGGGGAAATCTCTGAGACTGAATAAAAAGCACATCAAAAGGTTTCAGGTTTGATTCCAGGTCAGGGCATATACAGGAGGCAACTGATAGATGTTTTACTCTTTCTCCCTTCCTCTCTCTCCAAAAAACAATACGTAAACATTCTTGCGTGAGGATTTTTTAAAACACAACACGTTTTAAAAAAAATAATAAACTAAATGAAAAAATATCTAATACATGGATACTATGTTCATTGACTCAACAATTCTCCCCAAATTGACCTATATATTTAAAGCAATCCAGTCAAAAATCCCAGCAACACCTTTTGTAGAAACCAACAAGCTGATTGCATGTCAATCACACAGTGAAACTGGAGAAAAAAAAAAAAGAAAAAAAAAGCAGTGGAAAAAGGGGGACTACATTGCATGATGGTTATAGAGCATGGGCTCCAAAGCCAGGCGCCTGGGTTTGAATTTTTAAGTAAGCACCACAAAATGTCACTGGTTCTTAGTATTTATTAAAGGACAGCTATGGAAAATTATAGACTAATATCTTGTGGAGAAAGCAACAACTGGAACTAATGAAACTTGATTCAAGCAACTTGCATTGTTACTTTATCTGAATCACTTTGGTGTCTGCAGAATCATAAGTCCATTATTAAATTTAGCCCCAGAGGCCTCCAGAGAGATGCAAGCACAGGTCCTAGACAGAGACCTGGAGGTGAGAACCATGGCACAGGGTACTCTTTATCTGGAGCACAGAGCATGGAGACTGGCACCCTCCTTTGTTTCTAACTTGGCCCCGTGCAGTACTGGGCACAAGGATGTAGAATGAATTATAACCAAGAAAAAAAATCAGGGTTCAGGGAGTTTTAATAAGGCCTCAGCAATCATAGTCTGGCATGGGTGGAATGAGGATGAACAATCTTCAAAAACTTGAACCACCTGACCCTGCGCTGAAAATACTAAAAAGCACTCCTGAGGGTCAGCTATACTTTTGCACAGCACAATGGTGACATCTAGTGTTAGCAAGATAAATCTCAGCGCTGCAATTTAACCTGAACTTTAGAGAAACAGGGTCTTGGTGTCTTACTTCCTCTCAGGGGCCCAAAAAAATTTTTTTTCTGTTTTTCAATTTGTAATTTATTAACAATTGCTCTTTTATTTTTTAAATTTTTTAAATAAACCTGATGTACATAAACTGGATTTTTTTTCATTGAAACATAGTTGACATATAACATTGTGTAAATTTAAGGTGCACAGCATGTTAATTTGATGCATTTATATATTGTAATATGACTGCCACTGTGACAATAATTAACATCTCTACCACATTATGTAATTATCATTTTTTAAGTGTTGGAATAATTAAGTTCTGGTCTCTTGGCAAGTTTAAGGATTGTAATACAATATTGTTTTCTACAATCACTATGCTATGCATATAGGTCTCTAGGATTTATTTACTGTTGGTTACAAGTTTGTACCCTTAAACAACATCTGTCTTTTCCCCCACCTGGGGTGGACATTTTTTAAAGTGTTAGATTTGGTGAGTTTTGTTTGTTTGTTTGTTTTTTAAAATATATTTTATTGATTTTTTACAGAGAGGAAGGGAGAGATAGAGAGCTAGAAACGTCGATGAGAGAGAAACATCGACCAGCTGCCTCTTGCACACCCCTACTGGGGATGTGCCCGCAACTCCGGTACATGCCCTTGACTGGAATCAAACCTGGGACCCTTCAGTCCGCAGACCAACGCTCTATCACTGAGCCAAACCGGTTTCGGCAGATTTGGTGAGTTTTAACCAGCAAAAAACAAAATAGACACACACAAAAATCTGTCTTCATAGAGCTCGCATTCTTAGTGGCCAAAATTATGTCACATGGCTACTCCCACCAGCAGGGAAATCTGGAAGGCAAGTATTTAGCTTTCCGGTGTCCTTATTAGAAAAGAGGACGGAAGGTGTAGAAAGAGCACAACTGTAGTTTCTGCCACAGTGATGCTGAGGCGCATACTCAAAACGTATAAATGTTTCTGTACACAAGTTAGGGTTAAAAAATGTTTCAGACGTATCGACATGTCTACTCCTTAAACTAGACCTATTTATTATTAATACTAGAGGCCCAGTGCACAAAATTCGTGCACTTGGGAGGGAAGGTTCCTTCAACCCAACCTGTGCCCTCTCAAAGTCCAGGAGCCCTTGGGGGTGTCTGACTGGCGGGGAGGGCCTAAGCCAGCAGCTGGACATTCTTAGTGCTGCCACCACTGCTGCCAGCTGTGAGCCTGGCTTCTAGCTGAACAGCACTTCCCCTGTGGGAGCACACTGACCACCAGGGGGCAGCTCCTGCCCCCTAGTGGTTAGTGTTTCATAGTGAATGGTTGTTCTGCCCTTTGATCTGTTTGCATATTAGCCTTTTATTATATAG